AGGGGGACCAAAGGCTGATCCAGTGGCGTTCCCTGAATTGGCACACGGGCTTGGCATTGCTCTGCTCCCTTGGAAGTTGCTGGTGCAGGTTCTCCCACTGCTGGGCGGTGAATTCCAGGCTTGAATGGAATTAAAAATCTTTGTTTAAATATCCTTTTTAAGTGGGAAGGGGAAGCGAATGCGCACCAGCGGGGCCGGGCCGCCTGCAGAGCGCCTGTGCCCGGACGCTGCCGGCATGTCCCGCCTCGGGAGGCCGGGGCCTGGTACTGTCACGGGAGCCGTGAGTCAACGGGAGCTGTGAGTCACCGGCAGCGCGCACCCGCGGAGCGGCCCCGACGGCACGGTCCCGGTGGGCCTGCTCCCGGGGAAGGAGCCCAGGGCTCAGTTGTTATCGGCCGCTGCCCCCCGGGGACTCCTACCGCCCCGTACGGACGCTCCCCGGAGCACGCAGGGCTGCTGTTATCTGCTTCGGCTGGAAGGGTGGCCCCGGCGGCGTTTGGCGGGGTGATGCAGTGGGAGTGCGGTGCTAACCAGTAGCAAGGTTTGGGCTCCGTGGAGAGGCACAGGCGGGCGGAGAGGGGTGCAGGGTATCCCCGGCCCCACAGCCCTCTTCGAGATCCACACAGATCCCAGGGAAACCACAAGCCCCGTCCTAGCGGTTGGGACGGTGCCACTTAATGCACGTGTTGACCCCTACGCCGAGCAAAACATCGAATTCCAGCTGCAAAATGGTTTGCACACGCTTGCCACCTGCGAGACCTCGGGCAATTCCACCCCCCAGGGACAGTAGAGAGGCCGATATCTTCGTTGCCTTCCTCCCTGATTAATTTCCTACATCTCCCAGCTTTGGAATGTAATATTGGCAGGCAGTTGATGCACGTCCTGTAGCAGTGTCCCGTCCCGTCCAGACCCGTCCCCCTCCTCCCAGTTCTACTCATTTTACCCCTCTCTCCAGGGCTTTCCATGGCAATACACTATGAGGTGGCTGCCCCACACCACAGCCTCCCTCAGCCCCTGCTTCACAGCAGCGCCGGATGCAGCAAACCTATTCAGTCAGCAGAGGCACAGGGTGACTCTGTGACTCTGTGACAGTTTGCTGTTTGTGAGGCCGAAGGTTTCAAGGGCTGTAAATGTAAATGTACATATCCCTACAGGGCCGTGGTGTTTTGTGAACAGTATTTCATGCTAGGCAATGAGGGAGTCCGAGCAGGCAGGTGCCAAGTGCTTCCTTGGCTGGGCAGGGAGCAGACTGAGGCTCGCTCCCACATGGGACCTTTATTCTGAGGCTGTAAGAAGGCAGGAAAATACTCATCTTTCTCCATGGGCAAACCTTTTCCCTCCAAATCAAACAAAACCTCAGCCCTTGTGGCTCCAAGTAGAAACAGGTGTCTGACTGCTCTCTACCACTCCCCATTTGCTCCCAGCTGTCTTCTCCTAGTTCCTGGGAGGGAAGAAGAGTCTCACCACGTGTTTCTCTGGCCTGAACAGAAGCCCCGGAAGGAGTGAAGGGGAGGGCCAGACACAGATATCAGAGCCAGGCTCCCAGCTGTGCTCACGCTGCCCTCCTCTGGCCACTCGCCTGGTGATTCAGCTCTTGGGGACCAGACCTGTCTTGGCCGTGGGTAGCTCAGCAGCCGCTCTGCACTCACTTTTCCAGCACAGACTTAAACCCCTAAATTTTAATGTGGCAGTGACGTGTAAGGCAGGATCCCTGTCCCCAGCAGCCCACCTTTTCATATCATTCCTGGGAAGCATGTCAGGAAGCATGAATCTGGCCCAGGTCTCTGACAGTGTGGTTGGAAGAGACTTCATTGAGCATTGGCATGCTCATCAAGTTTAAGTAGGAGCTGGGCTCAGGTCCCAGAGTACTCTGTGGTCTCCTCAACAACAGGTCTGGGTGACTTTTTGTGCTTCTTTTTAAAGCTGTTTTGCTTTGAGTGACCTAATTAATTAGCCATTGATGGGGAGAGAAGGAGGCAGCAACTCTGTAGCACAGCTGCGAAGAGGGACCCCTGTGCCAGTGAGTGATCCTGTTCAGCGTTTAGGATAAGGGACTGAGATCTGGTGTGCCCCGTGCCCAGCTGCACGGGAAATGCCCTAATCCAGTCACCTTCAACCTGCTTTGATTTCTGCACTCCCAAAACATTTTTCAGCAGAAGTGTAGCCTTTGAAAAAGTAACTTGTGTGCAAATAGCTCTGTTGCAAATTCGATCTTGGATTTCTTAATCCCCTGTCACGGATCCTACCATGAACATGTGGATTGGAAAACATCACTAGCCTGCATGACAGGGTCCCTTCTGCTCTCCTCTTCTGGTTCAACACATGGTTAGCCGTAGCTCCTCCCAGAGGGACTTAAAAGAGCCCAGATCGGAGGGTGAGACCTGTTGGAGAAGTCCCTCCAGTTCCTTTTGAACGGAACAGAGAAGCACCTCTTTTTTTTTCTGTTTGCTGCCTGTGACGCATGGGCACGGTGTTTTGGAGGAACACCCTGCAGGAGGAGGCTGACTGATTCCTGGCTCATCCCCTGGGCCGGCACCACTATCCCCAGCACCGCTTTCAAGGGTCTCCTGCAGCCCTGCTCCAGTTACCGCGGCTGACCCAGGCCCGGCCCCTTGCCGCCGCCGCTGCCCCGGCGCGGGGTTGCCCGCGGCGGTGGCGGAGCTCCACCTAGTGCTAGCTCCGGCAACAGGACCGGGAGCGCGGTCCCGGGCCGTCCCGAGGGAGGCCTCCTCGGCACCCGGCTGCCCGCTCCTGGGTGTGCTGTGCAGGGAAAACGGAAAGAAAATTGAGGCACATTCCTCAAAGCATCTCACCTTTGAGTTTGAGTCGCCAGTATCTTGTTCTTTGTTTCTCTTACTGCTAACGAGGATGGCATGGTACCCTTTTCTATCACCCTCCATTTTCCATTCTCCCCCTCTACTTGGTCCTAGTGAGGCTACATCTGGAGTTCCGTGTCCAGTTCTGGGCTCCTCAGTACAAGAAAGACAAGCTGCTAGACAGGGTCCAGTGGAGGCCACAAGGATGATCAGGGGTCTGAAGCATCTCTTATGAGAAGAGATTGCAGGAGCTGGGCCTGTTTAGTCAAGAAAAGAGAAGACTGAGAGGGGATCTCATTAGTGCGTATAAATGTCTCAAAGGTGGGTGCCAGGAGGATGGTGCCAGGCTCTTTTCAGTGGTGCCCAGCAACAGGAAGAGGAGCAATGGCCATAAATAAAAACACAAGATGTTTCACCTCAACATGAGGAAGATGACTTTAAGGATGGCAGAGCACTGGAACAGGCGGTCCAGGGAGGTTGTGGAGTCTCCCTCTCTGGAAACATTCAAAACCTACCTGGACATGTTCCTGTGCCACCTGCTCTAGGTGGCCCCACTTTGGCAGGGGACTGAATGAGATGCTCCACAGAGGTGCCTTCTAAACCTAATGGTTCTGTGATTCAGCACTTTTAATTGACCTCAGCCCCTTTTGTTCCTCTTCTTCCTCTGGTTACTGAATCTTTGTCAATCTCTGCCTAACTTTATGCATCTACCTTAGACTAATGACACCCCTGCCAGAGGTCTCGAAACAAGCTTAACTCTCTCCATTCCACTTCAAATTCAGAACTTTCTCTTGAGAACATGATCCTGGAGGCACAGATTACGGGTCTGGATCCTAACAAGAGAAATGCATGCATTTTCCTTCCAGAATCACAAAACAGCTCCTTAAAACTGGCAGCTCTGGCTGTCGCTCTGCACAAACCTCAGGAACAGACAAGCATTTTGCTAAATTGTGTTGTAAGCATTCTGGAAAAGAAACGTGCTCCTAAAAGATGTTATTTGCCACTGAATACCTCCTTTAGATTTTGTCCATCCATCTCTGCCATACAGAGAAGCAGATGCACAACCCTCCACGGTCCAGCTGTTGTGGTTTAACCCCAGCTGGTAACCCACAAACATGCAGCCTCTTGATCAATCTTCCCTTTCCACCCCACTCCAGGTGGGATGGGGGTGAGAATCCAAAGAATGTAAACCCCACGGGTTGAGAGAAGAACAGTCCAGTAACTAAGGTATAATACAAACCCACTACTGTTACCACCAATAATAATAATGATAAAGGATAATAATGATAGTAACAACGATCAGGGGAGAGAATATATAATAAAAGGGGAAGGGGAAAAAAAACCCAATAAACACAAGTGATGCACAATACAATTGGCCACCACCTGCTGATCAACACCCAGTCTGACTCAAGCAATGATCAGCCCCTTTCAGGTGACTCCCCACAGTTTATATACTGGGCGTGATGTGCTGTGGTATGGAACACCCCTTTGACTAGTTCAGGTCAGGTATCCTGTCTCTGCTTCCTCCCAGTTTCTTGTGCCCCTCCTCACTGCAGAGAATGAGAAACTGAAAAGTCCTTGATCAGGATAAGTGTTACTGAGCAACAACTGAAACCTTGGTGTGTTATCAGCGTTGTTCTCAGAATAAAGCCCAAACACAGCACTGCACCAGCTACTAGGAAAGAGAAAAATAACCATTGGAGCTGAACCCAGGACACCAGCCCTTACAGAAGGGTCTTTTTCCTGATTATACATTCTCAGAGAGCTGTGCTGCCTGAGCTGTTTTTCCCATATGTGTCACGAGGAGTTTGTGTTAACTCCAAGGTTCTCTATTCATAGTCATAGAAACACAGAATGGCTTGTGTTGGAAGGGACCATAAAGCTCATTTAGTTCCAACCCCCCTGTCACAGGTGTGGACACCTTCCACTAGATTAGATTGCTCAGAGACCCATCCAACCTGCCTTTGAACACTGCCATGGATGGGGCAGAGACAACTTATCTGGGAAACCTGTGCCAGTGTCTCACCACACTCATAGTTAAGAATTTCTTCCTAATACCTAATCTAAATCTATGCTTTTTCAGTTTAAAGCCATTTGTCTTGTTCCCTACATGCCCTTGTAAAAAAATCCCTCTTCAGATTTCTTGTAGGTCCCCTTTCTTGGCCTTTTTATCCCTGAATTTCAGCTCAGTAATGTTGATGGGGCCAGATGACCTCTGTCCACTCCTTTTTTAAACTTTTGGAAAAACATTTGACACAACTCCCTGGCATGTTTTAAATCACATGGGATTCCCATCTGCTCGTCTATGAGCCAAGTTCAAATCTGCTTAGTTTCCAGGGCCAGCTAGGCTTGGATGGAACCAGTTCAGTGTTAAGTTCCTCTGAGCTCTGAAGGCTGAAAGCTCCTGACTGCACAAGACACTTAACTCCCATTTTCCAGCTGGTGCAGGCCATGTGTTAATGGTGCTAAACAGTGACATCTCGTTGCTGAACACTTTGAAACTCTGCTATGTTAAAAGTCAGATACATTTTCCAGAAAATGCAGTGTTAAGGTTTTATTGCTATCTTTATATTTTCGAATTATTCTTCAGCAGTTTATATCTGATTAAAAAAATCAATGTTCCCTTGCAAATTCAACCGTGTTAACAAAAATATACAAATAATAATTGCTGTTTTACAACATGCATTATTTTCAGACAATATTAGTAAAAAGCGGCTCAATTTATGTGATGGCATACTCTATCAAATAGTTATTAAATTAGAACACTTGCCAGTGAAAATTCTAACTGTGGTTAACATCTTGGAAAATGGAAAAGAGAAGAAAACTGTTAACCAGAATATTCTCATCTTGATGCACTGTGATATAGACAAATGTATCCTGTTAGTCATTAAGAAAGATGCATTTACAAATCCCTAAACCACATAATGAAAATAACATGTCCTTTTATCTATATTAAAAACCCATCAAGCCTCTGGTTATTGTCCTGGGAGTCAGGGAGAGATTTAAAGAGACATACTCTCATTTTATTGCAGCTGGGTTCATACACACAGGATGACTTCTGGGAGTTGGGAGTGAAGTTATTGCACTCCCAAATTGTTACAGAAGATAATTTATTTACAGTTAACATTTTTATTTGTTATTAAACACACAAAGCCCAGAGAATGGAATTAGCTATAATGAAGTTGAAGTGAGACTTTCATTCAGAAACTGACACTTGAATTTTCGAGACCAGGGAGGCAGAAGGTCATCTCTAAATATCACCCTTCCTGCTTGTTTTAGATGCTTATTTTAGGTAAAAAAGAATCACACCTTGTGAGTGCCTAACTGTCATCAGCAGATGTGGAATGTAGCCTGGACAGCTAGAGACCACCCGAGTACCTAAAGCTCAGTGAAGTGAACTCACCTGAACTTGACATCTATTGGGAACTTCACAGCAGTAGTCCAGGATAAGACAGTTATACACACTCAGATTTACAGTTCCTTGTAAAACAGGACTGATACTTTTAAATTCTGGCATCTAAAGCTGGCTACTCCAATAGCCTTTTCTTCCAGCTCTCACTGACATCTGGAGATGAGGATGCGAGTAACTCTTCTGGAAATCACACCAAGCTCTCTTCAGATGCATAGTCCGTGTTGTAAACATTGACTAAAAAACCCGTATATTTTCTTGTGTTTGCTTGCCATATGGCAAGAAAAGTCTGAATTCAATGCATTGATTTACATAATGTATTTACTTACATAAAACCGGGAAAAGAGATCTCCAAAGATAAGTTGAAAAGACCGTTGCTTCTGTCTGCAATAAACGTGTTTGCTGAATTCAAAGCGATGAATTGTGTCTTTTCCTCAAAGTAACATAAATATAGACTGTCCCATAAGAAAGGTGAATGGAACAGTGGTTGGTAACATTTTCTTTTCTTAGTGGTGTTATAATACATTTATGCTACATGGAATTTATGAAAATATTGGGACCAAATCCATAACCCAGATTATTTTTCAACTTGAGAGTCTTCATGCTGAAGCACAGTCGGGGATAGCAGAGATTTCTCATCCCTACTTACATGTGGTTTAATTTTGATGCTGGAATTGTGTGTGGAAACATTTTTGTTCATATTTTGGTAAACCTAGAGTTGGAACAAGGAAATAAAAGATACCCTCTGTTATTACTTATTGTACTTGGAAGACTGCTTTTTTCCCTGTGAAGCAGGCACTTGTAAGGTATAGTCTGCCTTCTCTTGAGGGAGAATCACACTCATACCTGCCCATTTACTTCCCACTGACTCCAGGGGGAGTCCAGACTGCACATGGATATTGTCCAGCCACAAAGAGCTGGGTTGAGGAAGGGCACTGGACTGCAAAAGAGTATATTTTTTTTAATAGGTACAGTGCTTCAAAGTTGCTCATTAGTTCACCTCTAAGCTCAGCAGGTTCTGCCAGGTTACCAGCCTGCAGGGAGGCTCAAGGCTGGAAAGCCAGGAGTCATTCATAGCTCTTCATACCCCAGAAGGTTCACAAGGACACTGCACTGGGAAACTGTCTAGCCCAGGAGGGATACCCAGGTAGGAATCAGCAGTTTATAAAGGAGTTGCTTATCCTCCCTGAGGAAGAGCTCATCATCTGGTAAGGATGAAGTATGACTTTGAGGATGACATACTGCCCTCCCTCTGTCTGTGAGGGCGTGACAGCACACAGCTATGGTGGGCCGCCCAAGAAATCCCTGGGTGGTGGCCCAGGCTCAGCTCCTCTCCCATGGAAGCTATCAGCATCACCAAAGACAAATGCACTGGCTCCTTCACAAGTGAAACACATTCCCATAGCACAGGCTGAGAGATTTCAGCCTTCCAGAGTCCTGGTGCAGACAGTTGGAGGAAATAAATCCTCATCAGGGAGGTAAGGATTTCTTCCCATGACAGCAAAAAATCCCCTGAACTCTTACATAGATCCATGGGTAATGTATCCATAACTCAGTGGTGCACTTGAATAGAAACCAGAAGACTATCAGATAATTGTGATCTATGGGGCTAGAAGAAAAGTGACATTTTCTTCTTTCTGTGTTTACTTACTGCTCCTTCTGCCTCATCCAGCTGACAGGCAAGAGAGGAAACCAGCTGAGAAAAAGAGGGTCTCTTTCTGGAGTCAAGGTCCCAACAGGACTGCATCACACAATAGCTGCAGGAGCAAAGAGGTGATACAGAAAAAATGTTAGCTGCTGGACTCTCTGTAAGTAACTACATGGAAGTGCAGAATCTGAATGGGAATCACGGGGCACCAGAATGATTTTATGGAAAGGTGCCCGATTTTGCAGTTTCAGCAGGGACCAGTGCAATGCCTATCTGCTAAAGTCCCTTGTAAACTTACTAGGTCAGTAGGTTCCCTGGTATTTATAAGCCCCACTACAATCTTTCATGGGTCGATCTGTCAGAGTCACCTTTGATGCCATTACATCCTTTACATGGAGAGGATAAAAATAGTATAGTGTCATAGCGAGGCACTTAGTCCCTAGACCATCTATGAGATGTTTGCCGAAAGAGCTCAGGCAACCCAAAGTTCTTCCCTTTCCTTCATGTTCTTGGTCTTGTAGCTCCCCATCACCTTCTCTTCTATCGCTCTCTGTGGTCTACCTCTGGGCAGAGTTCATTCAGGCACAGAGGCACAGGCTGAAAACCATGTGCTGAGGGCACAGGGAGAGCTCCCACCAACCCTTCCTTAGAAGGGTTTTTCCTTTAAGAGGATCCCTGTCCTCCTGGAACTGAATGAAACATGCTAAACCTCAATTAAAAAAAAAAAAAAAAAAAGGAAGTTTAGAAAAAATCACCAAAGTTTCAGTGAATATCCAAAATGTATTTGGTATAACATAGCTTTTGCAAAAAGAAAAGAAGTCTGTGACCTGAGAATGAGAAGTTCCCTGTGAAAGGAAGGCCATATAACCTTTTGTGTTGATTACTTCTGCATTAGGACAAAACCTGCAGGATCAAGCAGCCAGAGGCAGAGGAAGATCTCACCTTTCGCAAATTTTCCTGAACAAGTATGGTGTACATATGAACAGTGGTTTAATAAATATAAATTCCCATGCTGCCCACCACTCAGGAAATACACTTACATGTCTTTTGTAGCATAATATGGTTGGTCCATTTTAAACCCACTTTGTATTAATTTGTAGAAGTTTGCATCAACCGGAATCCCAGGGTAGGGATTTACACCTGTGGAGAACATCAGAGAATGCATGTTAATTCAGAGGCTGCCAAAACCAAGCACTGCTTTTCTGTTGTATTGCAAAACATACCCAAAGAGAATATTTCCCATAGTAATATTCCATAAGACCAGACATCACTCTTCATTGTGTATGTCCTCTCGAATAAGCTTTCAGGAGCCATCCATTTAACTGGCAAACGAGCCTGGACAGACATGGGGAAAGGAGGCCAGGTCATGCTGTGACACATTCTTCCTTGATCTCACTGTAGTTTCCACTGCTTGAGTAGAATCAGTTCATGTTTGCTATGTGAAAAGCTGGACCTGTTTCTGTTAGCCCCTTTGAATTTCCCTTATAGAGAGAAACAGGCACTTCCATGAAGCCAGTTCATCTCATCCATTTTAGATGACTGTTTAAGCAAGAGATGGGCTCAACCCTGGAAGAGCCTTCTTCCCTCCTCTGACTTCCAGAGGGAGTAGTGCAGATGAAGATAACCACACAGTACTTCTTCCTATAGCCAGAAGATCTGGTGTACTCCCCCCACATGCTATGGTCCCTGTATTATTGTGTGTAACAGTAAACAATTCCCAGCACTTCCATCAATGGATTTTCACTGTGCTTCAGAAAGCATGTGGGTACCATCCCATTTACAGTACTAGCTTGGTCATATTAATTATAAGCTGAGAATTTGCATTTGCCAAGAGCAGAAAAACATGAGATTTCTGCACTCTCCGTACAGCTACCCATAAAGCTAACATGGAATTTGAAAATGAAAGGCTTCACTTTCTTGGTTCCTTGTCATTTTTACAACAGTATGAAAAATAGAGAGCATGCAAGAACTTACATTGCCCCTAACAATGTAGTTGGAGTCGTTCATTATGTCTCTAGCAAGGCCAAAGTCACATATTTTCAACACTTTTCTATGGGTCACTAGTACATTTCGGGCAGCGAGGTCTCTGTGAATGCACTTAGAAGAAAAAGGAAGGTTAGTACTGCAGCATTTGGTATGAGAAAAAGATAATTCCCTTGTCTCAGAGAGAGTTCCCTGAACTGATGCCTCCTTCCACTTAAACAGTTTGGAGAATGAGCAAGCTGGGCATTCCCTGGTTGTCCTGGCAGGGGGGACAGGGCCAGAGCATGTAAAATTGTGCAGTGTAGCCACTTCTTACTCAGGGTCGTGTCTAAAGCTGCAATCCAGTCTTCGCTGTAAAGCCAGGGAAGGAGGCATAGTTCCAACCTGCCACTGAGTGGCTCTGTTCTTCAGTCTGACTGACCTGGTTTTGCTTCCTTTTCTCTCTAAACAGTTTGCTACCCTTCATCATACCGATTTGGACTCAAGAAACTCCATTCCTTTGGCAACTTGGTAAGAGAAGCAAAGAAGGTCTTCAAAAGTGAGCATATTAAAGTCCTCCTCTTCATCCATCAATCTGCTTTCACGTCTAATTTCATCTGTAAAAAATAACCAGAAGTATGAGTTTTCCATGGGCTTACTTACTATCCAGTTAATTCCATTGATTGCGGTAAGGATTTTCTCATGCTCCTACCAAGGGCAACATCACAAAAAGCATCCATCTTTTGCATCTTTTGTTCAGATACAAAGTAAAGGAAAGAATATTTTCACGCAAATACTATGCATGAGTATTTGCATGAAAGATACTCAGAAACATAAACCTCTCATCTTAAGTGTTGTTGAATCCTTTTCCAGCAAAATTCCTGCTAGAAGGGAACAGAGGCGTATGATAGAAAGGGGCCTCCTGTGTCACTGAATCTTGTCTAGTTAGAGCAATAATATAATAAATACAATAATAGCAGAATTACTAGAGACAGAAGCAATTACCTTCCTCAGAAGGCAGCACAATCCCATTTGATCCAGATGCCACATTTATGTTTTGACTTTGCATAACTTCAAATTCATCTTCTCTCCATAGAGATGCATTCACACTATACTTGAGGTGAGCTCCCTTCCTGGAGTGGGTGACACATTTTCAAAGGTTACACACAGTATATCACATACTCTTCTGCACATAAACTATTTTTGCAGTAAAAAAGCATGATCAATTATTGGCATTAAAAATACGGGCACAGACATGAGTCTTCTTAAAAGTGGAAAGAGAATACTTGTCTTTTGCAGTCAAGTGTGAAGAACATCATAGGGAGAATCAAATCTCAGTTCCTCCCTAAGGCACTGCTTATTAAAGTATGTGAAGACACATTCTCATGAATTCAGTGATTTCAGCAACTTACAGCACAACTGAGAATGCAGCTTAAAAGGAGACAGTAGTTTAGAAAGCATTAAACTGCTGCTGAATGCTTTACCTGGAATTTTGGTTCAAATGAATATTGTGGTAAAAGCTGAAGTTGTGCTGTTTAAAAACATATGCCAATGTCCGGTGAAACTCTTCTCTCTTGCTCCTTAAGTAGTTCAGAAGGTCACCATAGCAACAGTATTCAAATATCAAGTAGATTGGTCCTGAAATAGTTGGAGATGTAAATGCCTCCTGGTATCTATGGCACTCTCCCCATTAAAGCCCTAATGATGCCACATCTTCTCTCAGAACTAATCGGTACTAATCATCCCACGCATCTTCCTTCTCCAGTTGTACCTCTTTTCATTATTCACTTCTCTCCTTCCTTTGGGTGTCACCCCCATCCCTGCTCTTTTTCAGTTCTTTTCTTTCCTGTCTATTTTGCAGCCATTTTCCCCTTTCTTTCTCCATCTTCACTATCTGGGAAGCCACATGATTAAAAAAAAAACAAATGAAAATCTGTTATGTGAACATAACCGTGTGGATACAAAAGTACCTTACACCAGATAAGATTTTCCTTTTCACTTAATAAACTAACCCATATCAGTGCCATCACCATTGTAACATGAAAACCTCTTCTACAGAAGGGTTATTGTATCACTTCATTCAAGTTCAATGAGAAAGCACTCATTTCTGTACACATGCATGGCATTAACTTTGCTTTCAGCTCATTTTCATTTTGTTTTGGATCAACACAGTAAAGCAAAATTGATTGGGCAAAGACAGAATTTGAGATGAAGACAGAAACAGCAGCCTGAGAAACAGCAGGCGATTAAATATGTCTTGGATGTTTTTAATACTGCTTTCAACGATCAGTTTTTGATACTTTTTTTTCTGTTCAGGAGTCCTTGTTATTCCAAAGGTTTTAGCTGGTACCTTTCTACCATTGCAAGTTACCTGACACAGTACAAGCTCCTAGTAGGTTCACAATATTTTCATGGCTACCAATGTGAGTCATCATTTTCAGCTCAGACATTAGAGCATCTTTTTCTGAAGCATCAGGTTTTTCTGTAAAAGTAATAATAAAGACTTGGAAATCTTCAGCAAAGAAATAAAAATGTAAATGGTTGTGGTGCTTTGTCACAGGCAAGTCTTCATTTCAAGTTCATTGGACTGACAGTACACTTGGGAACATCCTAAAACATTGTTGTACAGTATAAAAAGATTTAGCCAAAGGTGGAAACTACACGTATGTGAGCATGGGTCATTTGAATGTTTGGGAAAGCAGTCATAAAATGTTAGTATTTGTTATTCTTGGGCTGACAAGGAATAACAGCAATTTTTAAGGTGTTCACAAGCACAGAGAAAATGGCAGTCAACCCTGTTGGTAAGAGAAAAATGTCCTAACAGCCATATGGCATGCAACCAGTTGCAATCCAATAACTAAGGAAAACTCTGTGTTTTGGTAATAGCTTTGGGCTTGTTTTTCAGCAAGCATTTGGTCTTCATGGTCTCAGTGAATTTTGGATGTGAACCAAAATGATCAAGTTGAACTTCCACAAGGATAGCCACAAAGGACTGGACCAAGGAAACGTGAAGCTGCTACATATGTGCAATAGGGGATGAAGAGCTGGATGGCAGTTCTGGCAGGAAGGGGCTGTGTGGGCATACTGGTGACTAGGGTGCTGTTGCAGCTACCAATGTATCAACGGGTGGATAAGGCGGCCGTTGGTCTCTTTTCTCAAGTAGCAAGTGATAGGATGAGACGAAGAGCCTCACGTTGCACCAGAGAAAGCTTAGACTGGATATTAGGAAAAATGTCTTTATTGAAAGCGTTGTCAAGCCCTGGAACAGGCTGCACAGGGAAGAAGTTGAGTTACCAACCCTGGAGGTATATAAAAGATAAGTAGATGTGGCACTGAGGGACATGGTTTAGTGATGGACTTGGCAGTGTTAGGTTAATGGTTGGACTCAGTGATCTTTAAAGTCTTTTCCAACCTAAATGATTCTATGATTCTATGTGGTATTTGGGACCCCACGAGGCAGCCCTCCTCCTCTGCTTGCTGCCAGGGAGGCTCGCTCCTGGGCACTGCTTTTGTGAGGGGTCAAGACAGTTTGGAGAGAGGCCAAAGCTAAGCAGCAAGGAGTATTAGAGATTTAATAAACCTGATCCATAAGGAGAGATGGAAAAAAATTGCTTTGCCATCAGGAAGAAAAGACTACGGGAAGATGTGCTGGAAGTTTTGCAAACAAGCTACCTCAGGCACAGGAGGTCAAGGGAGTACAACAGCTAGACACCACAAGACAAAGGGATCTTACACTAAAGTCCACAGAGTCACCGATGTGACCAGCAGGCTAACCTGCACTATGAATTTGCATTCATTCTCTTTAGAGCAGAGCAGTTCCATCCTTCCACACACAATGCAGACTTCTGCTGTATAGGACATGCTACAGGAAGAAGGCACTTCAGCAGTACCTTTTCAAACTGAATCAGGATTTTGAAATGCAGTATTGGTGAGGTGTAACTGGTAGAAGTTTGTATATAAAGGGATTTCCAGCACCCCTTCTGCTTCAGAGCCACTAGAATACATCATTGCTTGTAATAGGCACTTAGAGTTTATCATACCTTTTAGCATTTTGACTGCAACCTGGACTGAATCTCCTGCATTGCTAATTCCATAGGCTGTTGCATTCACCACTTTCCCAAAAGCCCCAGAACCAAGGACCTGTCCTAAAAGACACAATATGCCAATATTATTCACAGTTGGTACAAGCACAGGCTACCAGCACTGGGTTTTGCCTTATGGACTGCTCACCAAACTCCAGATTTTCCCTGGGAAATTCCCATTTGAGATCATATTCAAATTCTCTGAAGTTGATGTAGATATACTCGTTATCTGATGGACCTATGATGTGAATCATTTGCAACTGGCTTTCGTATCTAAATTGCTTTGGAAGAGAAAAAACAACAGTGGAATAAGTCTTAGAGAAGGAGAAACAGCCTGGTAGGAATAACAGAAGAAGGGGTGGGTATTCATATTTGCTTTTACCTTTTTGTATTTATGAAAAAATAGTATAAACAAGAAAGCCATCAATAGGAGGAAAAATCCAACAGAGACATAGAAAGCAGTACTGCCCGGGGGAGGAGAAACAGCTCCTGCAACTTTAAGAGATACATATTACTACTCACTGAATCAGAGCCTTGAGTGTACAGCTCAGTTTAAGGTCTTTTCCCCAGTACTCATTCCTGCTTGCCACACAGGGACTGACTCTGGAGTGTCTCTGTTGGCTCAGTCATGCTCTTGCTTAGGTGTACAATGACCCCCATGGGGTGAGGAGAGCTCCCATGGGCATTTCTGGCAGCACCATGGTGATCTCCAGGAGAGGAACAAGGGCCAACACCTTCCAACTACCAAAGTGGCTTCAGCTCTTCCCAAAGCTGATGCCTTCACGCTTCAGTTAGGGATTACTAAGCTGAAATAAAACATCAAACCCAACACTGCCACAGCTCTATTCAGTGCTTCATATTTGTGTGAGATTTCTGCTCATTTCAATGAGGGAGGCCCCCACTTTGGCACCAGAGAAAAGAGACCTGAGTCACCCATTCATCCACTGTTTCCCACAGTGTATGCAAACAGCACTTGTGTTTTACTTGCAATGCCATGGCATGGTCAGCCATTTAGCCAGGCATAAAATACCATAAGATCTATAATGACAGCTTTAACTGAAAAAACCTGTGCCAAAACACTGTTTTATGGTACCTGATAGGTTAATGAAATTCTTTTCACAGGCTGAACCAGCAGAATTGTTTGCACAGCACTCCACAGAGAAGGTTGTTGCTGTCTCCTTTACATCTAAAGTACTGCTAGAAATCCATGACCCCAGGGATCTCCTTTCGGGTAATAAGCTGTGAATCCCCTCAGTGATTTCTTCTGTACAGCTGAAAAAGAAAGCAGACCAGTTCTGATTTTTGGCTCAGTATGGCATTTTCCAGGGTAGAAGGTGGATGTTTCAAAACATGTCTTGTGTGATATGTCTGTGCTAGGAGGGATAGAGGGGATTGGGTTTTATTTGTCATTGTTAGAGTGAGGCTTCAGAGTAGTTCCCAATCTCATTTTTGGTGATGGACATGAAGGGATCTGCAGGGGTTGAACTGGGCTCCCTATCTCCTACACTGGGCTTACTCTCAGTCCCACCACTGCCCTGGCAGGGCACCTGCACCGCTTAACCATTGGGATCTCCAGAGTTTCACAGCTGACACAATCCCCCCCCACGTCTATTCCCACTGATTCCACCATTACCACAAGCACTCAAACCACAGAGCAGCTCCAAACGAGCCCCTACTAAAACAAATAATACAAAATGAACCAGTAGCAAAGTTCTAACTCCTTTCCCTTCAGGTATGTGATTTAGAATCATAGAATAGGTAGGGTTGGAAAGGACCTTAAGATCATCTATTTCCAATCCCCTGCCATGGACAGGGACACCTCACACTAAACCATGTCACCCAAGGCCTCGTCCAACCTGGCTTTGAACGCTGCCAGGGATGGAGCATTCACAACTATAGGATTTCAATGAAAAGTTTCTCTCACTGATAGTGGAGAGCATCTACCCTGTATTACTGAGTTATGTAGGACCTGATACATAGAAAGAGGGAACATTACACTCAAGGGAAAGTAAGCCTCCACAGAGGTTATTTTGTTTATTATTTATTTAGCTTTTCTATCATTCATCAGCTTACTAATTTACTGTTACACAAGTAAATTAAGAGGTAAATAAATAAAATTAATTCTGGTCTACACAAAGCCCTAACTTCTATGTGTAGAAGTTCCCAAGAAAAGAAATGTCACGGCATTTTCTTTCCAGAAAGCTGATTTAAGGACTATTTTAAAATCACTATCTGGATGTTTTCTTTCCTCTTCCATTTCTGCACAGATCAATGTTAGGAAGCCTGGAAGCCTTTTCAGAGGTATGGATAAGAAAATAATCTAGATATTTTGTTTTTAATATCTGCTTAAAATACTTAGAGCTTTATCCACAGTCTTCCAAAAGATACTTTGTCTTAGTACTTTCCTGCAGCACAGGAATATTAGTTTTTGAAATATCTCAATAAAAACTGCAGGGTTTATAAAACAGCTCAAAGCTGTTTCAGCATCTTTTGAAATTTTAAGGCCTGACTCATTGGTAAATAGGGGAAATAGAAACACTCTCACTGAGTGTCACAGTTTAACCCCAGCCAGTAAGGAATCCCCACAGAGCTGCTCACTCACTCCCCACTATGGGATGGAGGAGAGAATTAGAAGAGTAAAAGTGAGAAAACTCGTGGGCTGAGATAAAGACAGTTTAACAGGTAAAGCAAAAGCCATCACTCCAAACCTCCCCCTTCCTCCTTCTTCCCCAGGTTTACATGCTGAGCATGACATCATAAGGTCTGGTATACCCCTTTGGTCAGCTGGGATCAGCTGTCCTGGCTGTGTCCTCTCCCAACTCCTTGCACACCCCCAGCTCCCTTGCTGTTGGGGTGGTGTGAGGAGAAGAAAAGGTTTTGGCTCTGTGTAAGCACTGCTCAGCAGTACCTAAAACAACCCTGAATTATCAGCACTGTTTCCAGCACAAATCCGAAACACAGCCCCACACCAGCTACTGTGGAGAAAATTCTACCCAAGCCCAAACCAGTACACTGACTTTACTGGCTTTGGTAGCAGGTCACTGTAACACCTGTATTAATCAAAGCTTACCTAATTAATCAAGCCTGTATTAACCAATGCATTCCCTGAATACCTGTACCTTTGACAGGCCAAGAGGAAAAATCAGATTCGATTTTGTAACTGCCTGACTGTTGCTATAAACCCTGTGGGGTTTATTTCACTGTAAAAAGCCTGAGATACATACCTTTATAGACTTCATTTCATGACAATAAAACAAAAAAAGGGAAACTTTCTCTAGTTTTGGTGATCCCCTGGAGCATGACACCATGGCCCCTTGTACAAATGGTCAAGGGTGCATTTTACACTTGTTTTCTTACAGGCCAATTCTCATTTAACCAAGGATAGATCAGATATGGTATTTGCAATGAATAAAAAAGAGGGAAATGTATTTACTTGGATGAGTTCAGCTTGGAACAGTTCCTCCAAACCCAGGATGAGGCAGGGTAACTGTCAGCGATGCAGGAGATCTGCTTGAACAGCCACTGCATCTTTATTTTGGGCTTTCCTGCAACAATATAAAAGATTAATATAGTGGTTTGTGTTAGAAAAGACCATCTAGTTGCACTCCCCTGCCATGGGCAGGGACCACAAAATATAACATAAGATTTCTCTCAGCACTTCAGTGACCAAAACCTTGACATTTATGGGGCAATGTCACTCTGCCAAGACCAAGGTCTGCTTCTGTGTTTTCAAACCAGCCCACCCACATGTCACTGTGAGAGCTGAGTGCAGCCATCAGTCTTCCTACAGCTGCCTTGGCTCTGCAGGATGGCAGTGTGGGCAAGGCAAGAGGAGCAGCTGCTTCTCCGTACAGGCACAGCCAGACCAAAACAGTGGCAGAGCCAAAATCAGAACCTTGACTTCTGCTTTTCTAACTCAGAGCAAGCAGTCAGCCCTAGGACTCCCCTGACACCCCAGGTCTGGGTGCCCAGCTTATACAAAATGTGCACAAAGAATCCCTGTATAAATAATGTGTTGTAAATAATGCTTCCTGACCTGACCTAGAGCAAGGGTGAGAGGGTGCTGCAGTTGCGTGGCAGAACTGAGATAACTGAGAGCACTGGGCACACTCTGCATGTGCGTTATTTGAGGGCAGGGGTGTGTGAAACATTGCAGCCCTAACAGACATTTTACACACCAAAGGGTCTCCAGACTAACTCCATTAACTCACAAGTGCCATTAGGAAAAAAATAACATAAATGTGCCATAGAAAGCTAACACCTAATGAGGGTGTTTCCTCTCACTGTGTATCTCATGGGGTCTCTACGCGGGCTTCTTCAGCCCGGAGAACAGAAGGCTCAGGGAAGACCTTATGACAGTCTTCTAACACCTAAAGGGGGCCTAGGAGAAACCTGGAGAGGGACTTTTTACAAGGGCATGTAGCGACAGGATAAGGGGGATGGCTTTAAGCTGAAAGGGGGGAGACATTAACATTAGACATTATGAAAAAATTCTTCACTAAGTAGGCTCTGAGGCACTGGCACAGGTTGCCCAGAGAAGCTGTGGCTGCCCCATTCCTGGCAGTGTTCAAGGTCAGGTTGGATGGGGCTTTGACCCTAACCGTTGTATGGTTCTATGGTATTCTGGATCTGTAGAGTTAGAATAAAATGCTCTGTATTTTACTGAGCTCCCAGGCTTTGTGGTTTTCTGAAGAAGCATTATTCTTCTCAGTGTATGACTCATTTCTCATATTCTGTTATCTCTGTTTACAGCAAACTAAAGGGGAGACAAAAAAATTAGTAACTTCCTCCTCCTTCTTCTGTTTTCCATCCCTGACCAACACAAGAAACACGACACACAGTCAGCCAGCATCGTTCTCTGACCCAGAGCCTAGATTTCAGTAGCATAGTAGAGAGTGAAGAGAATCACATTTTTGCCTTGCGCTCCTCCATTGTCAACAATGAACCTAGGTAAATGAAATGGGGAATACCAAAGGAAAATAAACATCTTAGCTCCATTTATATCAGTGGCAAAATCGCAGACTTTGTCAAATCTTCACAGGGATTATTTTCTCACTTACTTCTCACATACAGAGTGAATTTTTTTGTCACGACTGTATCATCATTTTCGGCATAAAATACATATACTCCAGACCGGTGCTGATGGTTGCAGAACTTTGATGAAATGCTGTGGAGTAAAGAAAAGGAGGGAAATGGACAAGCAATTGACTTGAAAAAGATTCCAGATGTAGTCAAGGCTCATATATATGTTTGAAATAATCCAACATCTTCTAATGAGGAACCCAGATGAAATTATTTTTGCTTAGACAATATAAATCCCAGAATGTAGCAGTCTTGATGAGATGATATTTGCTTCCTGCAGTATTGATTAAATTCTGCAATTTTCTTCATAGTTCCTGGAGTACACGTGAACTGTCAGGATGTGATTTTATTACCAATCCTTTGGAAGACAACATATATAATTCATAGTGTCAGAATGATTTAGAAAAGACCCTAAAGATCATTGAGTCCAACTGTAAACCTAATACTGTCAAAGTCAAGATGATGATTATCAAACCTAAATGGCAGCTATTGTAGTTCATCAACATTAAAAGGCACTTCAGAAAATCTCTCTTAGATGGAGGAGATGAGGGCAGATTTTGGGGGCAGATGTTTTGTCTGGCTGCTTAAAGATACCTGGTTAGGAAGCCCCACCTAAATTTCTGTGGTAAAGGCAAGCAGAATATCAGGTGGTTTGAAGCAGAAATTGAAACCAGACAGCCTATACCAGCAATTTGTGAAGTAAGAAATCTACAGAAATAAACCCAGGATATTACTCATTAAGCAAGGTACATACAAAGGAATTAAGTATCACCTTGCAATTCTAAACTGGTTTTGCAATTCTAAACTGGGAAAACTCACATGGAAGCCACTGGCAATTTTGCCTTTTGACTAAGGCAGCAACTCCATACAATTACTGACTTTTGAATGTCTTCATCTGAAATGGCCTTAAAGATGTCCCTGAACTCAAGGATTTTTTTAAATCAGACCCCTTTTAAGCTACCTCAAAGTGGATATTGAAGGCAGAAGAAACCACAAATCATCTGTTGCTTTTGAAATCCTAGGTCTGAAGAATTAAATCTTAATAAAGTAATGAGAAAATAATTTAAAGCATGTCTTTGATAACTGAAAACAGAAAGGGATGTGAGACAACTATTATAAATTTAACAGAGGTCGCTCTGTGTATGATTTGCTCTTAGGAGGGAAGTGAAAATCAAAGTGTGCTAAAGCAGAGAGTCAACAAAAGCAAACAGAAAATGGAAATTCCAAAGGAATGTCTGGAGACATGTAGGGCAGTGACAAAAGAGATGAATCCTTGGGACTTGAAATTAGAATCTAAAGAAGGGGACAGATTTAATTAATAAATTTAATATGATCTATAATCAAGAGGAACAATTTGATAAGGAAATGGCAGAAATCAAAAATGCAGAAAAACAGGAAATGAAGAAGGATATGAAAGGAGTAAAGTAGAAGTGTTGGGACACATGGTTACACAGAAGTTAACTAAAATGTGCAAAGTTAGATTCACAATACATGAAGATATATAATGACCTTTACTTGTTTTGTTTCAAGAGACGTTCTGCTTTAAAATCACAATGAAATCTGCAGTGCTACAGCCTCAGGCACTGTTTCCTGAACTCCCTACCCCTTGCTGCTTCAAACTGAATGAAATATATACCTCTACTTCTTTTCCTCAGAGGAGACATGTCTATCCAATGCTAGTATTCAACCAAAACTGAATAGCTGTGGGGAATGTTTGTATAGAAGAATGTACTTGTCAGATGAAATAATCACCAAATTAATGGATTTTTCCCTCAATTATATTTTTCCATAAGATAAATTGGATGACAAAGGAACAAACACAGAGTATAATTACCTAAAATGAACCTAAAAAAAGTATTTAATTGACAGCACAGTCAGATGGATGGCTAAGTTGTCTGTTTGAAGCAATTTCCAGGTCAAGCTCCAGTGACACTTGGGGCAGTGAGCTGCCTATGGCCATGATCGTGGCCATGGATGATGCAGGGCTGCCCTGCCCCATGCACTTCTCCAGGACATGGGCTGAATTTTCTCAGGCAGCAGGTGGTGATCAGCTCTCAACAACTGTTGGTGCTGTGCTGCAAAGGCTATCTGATATGACTCATAGATCCCAAGCCACAACCAGCTGCACCCGACCCATTAATGAGAGCTACCTAAGCTATTTCTGGAGTTCTCAAAATTGTTATTGTTGGCCCAATCTGTAGCACCTTCTTATCTGGATTTAATTTACACCAGCTGTCAATCATCCAAGCAAAACTGACCCCTGTTCTTATGAGTGGTGAGAAGAGATCAATACCAGCTGCAAAGCAAATGGACTAGGTATTTTCAGCTGGAGGGAGGTACCTACTGGACAAGGATGAGCAAATGCTCATGGCTGTCCCCTGAGACCTCATTTCCAAAATCAGTAGTGATCATAAAGAACAGATCTGCCTAGCCCATGTCAGGCACTGCAGGTTAGTCACCAACACACACCCAGAGCTTCAGAGTTTGTTGACAGCCCTCGCTTTATCAGCAGAGACAGAGTTCCTGTGGCTATTGCCAGGAGATGACAGTTTACTAATCTGAACTGAGCTGTCTCAGAACCTCATGGAGATCTGATTCCAATGCACCTTCTAGTGCAGATGGGAGGGCCAGTCTGTGGCAAAGACTACTTGAGAAGCTAGTGGATAAAATCGAGCGCACCACAATACTAAGGAAAGAAATGATAAAAATAATAATCATGGCTGTAGCACAGTTTCATGCAGATGTTAAGAGAGGTTTTAAGAATATAAGAAAAAAATCTATGCAGCCACATTAATTCCTGCCTAGGCCCTACATGGCTTTAAATTGAAAACTTTAAAAGAGCAGCTTAGCTTTATTTTCGTTGAGGTGAGTAAGAGTTGTTACCTTGAAAGCCATGAGACTACTTTGAAAGAGTCTCTGAAGGAAATTAGATAATGTTATCAAGAAATTAGAAAGCCTAAGGAATGGAGAAAACATTAGCCTTAAGCAGGATTCATGCCAGAACTTCATTGTAGGAAATAACAGAAAAGGTAGATAACTAACAGGTTTATTCAAAACATGTTTTGCAGCAGTGGAAGAATACATGACCTAGGTAACGAGCAGAACGGTATGTTTCTGTGGCATAGTCAAACAGATCTAACGGTGGCCTGGGAAACTACGTGGACTTAGACTTTAATTTAAGCAGTCTGAAAGACACTGGGAACATCATCAAGAACACGATGACAAAAGGGTAACATGTAGAAATTGTGATCCTGTATGAAAACTGAAACAGATGTGTAACTGAGAAACTGTGTTAGAGAGAAAGGGAATAGCAAAATGCAGATAAACAAAAGGCTACATGCTTAATTTACCAAAGGGTGTATTATAACATGGAGAATAACTTGATTCTAGAAGTTATTTACATGAACTGGTGTTGAAAATCAAAATCATGCTTGAGGCCTTTTGTTAACACAGCTTCACCGCCACATTTTAAAAACAGAAAAAGAGTACAAAACATGGACAGTAAGCAGTCCAAATGAGATATAAATACAAGACATTATTATATCAAACTACCAAAATATTCAAGTACCTGCGTCCATCCACGCTGTAACTTTGTTTACACGGAAATGTTTTTTGGGGAGATAGCCACATGCATCTAACTGACGGATATGCTGTAAAGTTAACTTCAAGGCAAAATGCTTCCTCACCAATTTCAAATTCTTCTTTAGAGTCGGTTATATTTATAAATCCCTTTTCTGGAAAAAATTTAAGTAATATATATATTATAAAGGCTGAACTGCTTAATGAAGGAATTTTGCCATCTGTATGTTTTTCACTTTAGCAATCACAAGCAAAAAAAGCACCATGCTACGTCACAAAAGGCATCCTGCTAATCAAAATAAGATAATACTTCAAAATAGTACTGAAATGATGTCATTGTGCTCAGCTGCAGACAGATGATCTCAAACTGCTGAAGTTGCATATTTGGTCAAACCAGAGTCCTTCCAAAGTGGCCTGATTCCTCCCTGGTCCACCTTACAGAGCCACAGGGCCACCACCAGCATTATGTATTTGGTTTGTTTAGGTGTGTTCCAGGTGCTAACGGCTGCATCTTCTGGCTTTCCTCTATCAGGGAACAAAACCAGGTGGCACTATTAGAATAATCAGATGTTGATAGCAGTTGTTTCTCCTTCCCTGAAATGAGCTGAAGATTTTGGTAATGAGTCTTGCAGCTGCTCCTTTATTTCCCCATCTCAATTCGACATATTTGATGCAAGACAACAGCGATACGAAAATGAGTTTTGAAGGTGTGTGTGAGCTGTAAGCTGCTGGCACTTGCCCTGCTAGGGTGGGATTAGTTTCACCTAATGGAGCTGTCTGAAGTTTGGTAACCCACCTAAGCTACTTGTTTTGACCTCTGATAAACTCAGTGGAATGAGAGAGGCATGTCCAGATGTATCCCATCCTAAATGATAAGATGATAAAATATCTGAAACTATCTGTTCCTTGACACGGACTGCTGAAGGAACTGAAGTCATTGCTGGGGTTAGACGTCTCATGAAATGAAATGAATCCCACCCAAACAACAGAAGATACCTGTGGGAGGAGGCTGTCGTAAAGACATCAGTGGGGCTAGGATCAGCTCTGTAAAAATCATGGAATCATATACATTGGAAGAGATCTGTGGAGATGTCTAGTCCAGCCTCGGCTCAGAGCAAGTCCAACTAGGTGAGATTGCTCAGAGCCACATCCAGTTGAGGTTGGTATCTCCAAGGAAGTAGGCTTTACAACCTCTTGGAAACTTGTGCCAGTGTTTAACCAGCCATATGGTGAAAAACTGCACTGTAGAAATATTGCTGGACTGTTTTTTTCATTTTGAGTGTTTTTCTTCTGGTTGAAACCTTATATGCTGCTTGGCATGTTTTATCCCTGTCTATCTTATTGGCTTACAAAATACTATCTGAAAACTCTCAGAAAACCACACACACAAAAAAATGAACAAAATAATCAGTATTTTAAACCAAGAAGCAAATGCTTTCATGACTGTTCTCCTATTTTTTTTTTTGCTTTTTGGTTTTATAAATTGGACCTTCATGTTTTGAATGATGTTTTGGACTTTGTCCTTCTAGGCAGAATGTCATCTCTGTGTGTACTGTCAACAACAAAACCAGCCAAGGCTTTCTCCAGAGTGTGTGCAAGGACCTTGGAGCAGGATATGCCCTTTCTCTGGGAAACAACTTAAGAAAAAGTAGTTTCTTTCTTGAAAGGGAAAGAAAATAGCATGTTGTTGCTTGGCTGACTATTTTTTGGCAGATTCAAGTGTCTTTCTGCCAGAGAACCAGTGAACATGATTATTGAGTAATGACAGAGAGGTGAGATGAAATTCTTGAGACTGGAAACAAAGCTTTCTAGCCTCTGTATTTATTGTATTTGTTTATTTGTGGCTTTAAGCCTAATGTGTTGTGAAATAGCTTGCATATCCCTAAAAATTCTTTATTCAACACTGGTGTAAATAGAGCATAAAAACTGCAGAAACAAAGAGCCTTGCAGCTGCAGTTGGTTGACCTCTGTTGTGCTTTAAAGTGGCTTAACCACCCTGCCTGACCTGACCAGCTACACAAGGCAGGATAACTTGGTTAAGTATCAGCAAAAAGCAAAACCAGAACTGTGTGGATGCAAGGCATTACTAGAGATTAGAAGACCACTCACCAATGGTTAATGTTAGCCAAACCCCCCAGGCCATGCAGTGTGTGTCAACCAAATCAGTTTTCTTGTGGTTAAGTTACATCACGACCATTCCCAGTGTAACTGTAGGTGCTGACTCATGCACTGTGATGATTAAAGGTAGGATCATTTCAGAAACTGTCAACCTGTGCCATGGACAACTGAGTAAAATCTGTACCAATACCACTGACAAAATTGAAGCTGGGATGATAGCATAAATTCACACCAACAATGGTTGACATTAGTACATTAGGCTAAAGGTTGGGGTGGATCAGAAGCACATGATGTACCTTCATAACCTTGGAGAGAGAAGCACGCCTCTTAGCCAGGTGACAACATCCCCCCACTTTAATCCACCATGTAAGTAAATAAATAGATTTTCTCATCAGCAAAGCCAATAAGCCCTCAGTTTTGTTGGCATAAAGGATCTTAAGGAGGGTACAGACAATCACTGCAGCTTGGCATATTCCAGTTAAAAAATACCCTACTAGGAAATACTTCCATAGACAGTGATCAAAATATCTTCTATTACTATGACACATACTCAGACCTAATAGCTCATGGATACAAGATGCCACTATTTCTGAACTGGACATCAGTACTGAGAAAACAGAGGATCTTGCTCTAGCTCTACACTACCCTCTCAATCCTAGGAAGATGTGTGTAGGAAAATTGCCTAGGTGTTGTACTCAGTTATTGTAAATGATGAGTGAACTTCCTGCTCATTGGGAGGCAGAAACTGAAAAGAGGGTATTGCACTGGGAAAGTAATTTCTGAAGAGACTGGGGCAAGTATTCTCACTTTCTATCATTCTTAGCCTACGTGTTAGAAACTCTGAGAGCTACTACATCTAAGGTGAAACACATGGTGAATGCTTCAGAGAGCCTTGTTCTCAGAGGTACAGACTCCATCTCCAGGCACAACAGTCAGAAATCTACTTCCAGTGTCTATTCCTAACTACAGCTTTCCTTTCCATACCTTGTTTCCAGACTTATGACTCTTTGTACGTTATTTCCATCTGAATAACAAAGTTTGCAGTTGAGGCTATTTTGGACTAACTTCAATTCCCCTGGCTTTTAAATCAACATATTGCTTAAGTAGAATGATGTTTCCTTTGGTATGCTTTTGATTTTTTAAATTTTCAGGCCTTGCATAGCTTGGTCTTAAGAGGATGGTTTGCTTCAGTACCTGGAAAGCAGGAGACATGCAGAACAAGCAATAACATTGGAGTAGTCTCTCAAGTTTCAGGTTTTCTTTCAGATCTATCAGTGCTTGTTCTGGGTTTTGAGTGAGACAGCCCACCATCAAGAATCTTATATCTGTTTGATTCCTTCCTCTCAGACCTGTGTCAGGCCTGGTACATCTTTCGTATTTAACTTCCAAAAGGACTGTCTTTTAACGGGAATTATTTGAAAAGCAATATAATGCAAAGGTTGATTATCTTCATGTACCAGAATGACTCAGTTCAGGTTAATGTCTTGGCTCCCCTAGACTGTCAGTAAGTCAGACTTTTTTCTTAGAAAAGGAAATATAAACATATGCTGCCTACCTGCAAGCAAACAATTGCCACATGGAAAACAAAGAAAAATAACCAACTGAGGGACAAAATTAACACCGGGGGTTGGAATTACCTAAAACTGTAACCAAGGCAGTTTTGTTCGGATGAGCAGTAGAAGAACAGGTATAATGTCCGCTATCACTTCTTCCTGCTGATGAAGCAAACACATACTGGATCCGAATTGCTGAGTAATCGGTTTGATAGTCTAATCCTTCAAACTGGCGATCCTAGTTTTCAACAGAGATTTCCATTTAATCAGTTGATAGTGCCCAATATTACCTCTCCTGAAATGTGCCCTGTCTTCTTACCTGCTCAACTTCTTTGTTTTCTAAAGATAATTTTATTCTGAATTTGTAATTATGGTGAACAGCTCTGCACCTGATCAGCAACGGTTCTCCGACTTTAAGAAGTAATTCAGGTAAAGGTGCTGCTTGTCGTTCATTTAAATCTACAAAATCAAAACATAGTCACTGAAAGAACCATCACTTTGCCTGGAAAAATGCTCTGTTAATTCAACAGTTTTGATGTAATTTACAAGATAGCTATAGGGCATGGCTCAGCACAGAGCTTAGCTCAGGTCAGGTTTACTCAAAAGAACCAGACTAATAAACCTGAATTTATAGATCAGTTTATAAATATTTATAAATGTATATATTTGAGAACACTTTGAAGAGTGTTTTCATGCCCCGTAGTCCTAAAAACATGAAGAAAAAGTTAATAGATATTTAGCAAATGTAGGGCAAGACATTTTTTACAGAGACTACAAATAGCTATTAGAATTAGGTTTTAAACATGTAACAGAGCAATGATATTGATTGTTAGATTTGTTCCAGTGATTACACAAACATATAACATACAAACAAGTAGTTCAGCAAAGAAATTACACCCAGGTGAGTAGTGCAACTAACTTCAGCAGCAGGATCCAGCTTGCATGTAAGTAAAGTTAGAGGGAAGTTACCTATTGTAAAGAGGCCAGTGCATTCTCTGCCCAGGTCATTAGCTGCACAGCACCATATATAAGTTTGAAATAATTCATATTGTATCTTCTGTATGCCATCTATTTCCCCAGTTTCTTCATGCACTTTATCAGGGCAACTGCAATTACAAGCACAATTATTCATTGACTCATTTGGTTAACTTCAAGCAAATAAATCTGATAAATTTCCAAGCCATGAAACTATGCAAACAATAGTGGGAAAACTGGATCTTACATATCTGAATAAAAAAGGAACTAGGAAAGGTGAAGATAAGAAAAGAAAATGTCACAGCCTAGGCAGAAATATGAGCTGAAATAACCTGAATATGCTCAAACTGGCTCTTAAGACAGGTAATGCTGTGACAAGAGCAAGATTTCACAAGAGTGAAATCATAGAGGCTGACCTTTCACACCGCATCTCTAAATTCCTGTGGTGGGAGCTGCTGCAAATCCAGCAGCCCTTATGAGACCCAGATCCCAAAGAAATCCCAAAGACCTCAACAGTCTGCAAAGAAAGGCATTATTCCTGCTATTAATAGACTCAACTTTATATATTAATAGGACGGGGAAAAATAATTTAGCTCAGAAAACTTCCCTTCTAACATTCCTTCCCTTCTAACATATTCCCAGCTCTAAAACTTCATGTGATGTCCCCATGACTGGAAAAAGGCAAACATTGCACGTATTTTGGAAAAAGGGAAACATTGCACATATTTTTAAGAAGGGTAGACAGAAGGACCCTGTGAGCTACTGACCTATTAGCTTCACTTCTGTATCTGGGAATATCATGGATCAGATCCTCCTAGAAGCTGTGCTAAGGTAGACATGGAGGACAGAGAAGTGATTTGAGACAGCCAGCATGGCTTCATAAAGGACAACTCCTGCCTGACCAACATGGTGATCTTCCATGATGGAGTAACTACATCAGTGGACAAGAGAAGAGCTATGGGTGTCATCTATCTGTACTTCTGTAAGGCCTTTAACACAGACTTCCCCAACATCCTTCTCTCTAAATTGGAGAGACATGAATTTGATGGGTGGACTCTTTGGTGGATGAGGAATTGTTTGGATGGTCACATCCAGAGGGTAGTGGTCAAGGGCTCAATATCTAGATGAAGATATGTGACAAATGGTGTCTCTCAGGGGTCTGTATTGGAACCAGTACTGTTTAATATCTTGATCAGTGACATAGACTGTGCACACCCTCAGCAAGTTTTCAGATGACACCAAGCTGAGTGGTGTGGTTGACACGCCTGAGGGAGGGGATGTGCTTGACATGTCTGGCTCAAGAAGTTGGCCTGTGTGAACTTCTTGAGGTTCAACAAGGCAGAGTGCAAGGTTCTGCACCTGGGTTGGAGCAACCCCCAGTACCAACAACAGGCTGGGGGATGAAGAGACTGAGAGTATCCCTCAGGAGAAGGACTTGGGGGTACTGGTGGATGAAAGATTGGATGTGAGCTGGCTTCAGTGTGTGCTCGCAGCCCAGAAAGCCAATTGTATTTTGGGCTACATCAAAAGCAGCTTGACCAGCAGGCCAAAGAAAGTGATCCTGTCCCTCTACTCTGCCCTTGTAAGACCACACTTGCAGTACTATGCTCAGCTCTGGGGCCCCCAACATAAGAAGGACTTGGGCCTGTAGGAGTGAGTCTAGAGGAGTTGCAGCACTCCGGAGAATGGATCATGCAGGGACAGGTTTTCAACCAAGCTGGCAGAACCTGTCTCCAAAAATACTGTCCCCAGAGCTCTTCTTCAGTTATCTCCCCAGCTCACTATGCACAGTAAGGAGTACAAAGCCTTCCCCTTCTTCAGAAGTTGGTGAACTCAGACTAGAGATTCAACATGCATATAAACATACACCATACCTCTTTTCAGGTGTTTTGCAAAATATCCACTCCACGTAGGGCTGGGGGTAGCTCTCAGATACGCATTCAATTGCATCTGATCCTTCCCTTTTCCTAAAATAGGGTTTGCTTGGTCTCTCTGTTAAGAAATAATGCAAATGCTTAAGAATACTGAAACCATTCTGAAACAGTGTTTTGCTTATTTGGTAGTGCTTGAAGTTACAGAGATGCAATTTGTTTCAGGAGGTTTCGGCACTGAGTGAATAGAAACTGATTTTGCCTTAGGGATATTATGGGCTGGTCTCATGAGATTTTCAGCCTTGATTGCTAAATCACAGCTTCCCCGATATCAAAGCCTGCACCAAAGGATATTCCTGAGACTGAGACTGAAAGGTGTGAATTTGCTGTGGTTGATATTGATTTCACTGGGCAGGAGCACAGATACCTTTTGAATAACATACCAATCCCGTGGCCTTTGGTGGAGTATCTATTGAGACTAGAAAGTCCCTACACAAAATGGGATCCTTGCATACTGTTTGGTCAGATCAGATACACCATGGAAAAACAACGGGTGATAATGACTTCTGATAACCAGCAGATTTCTCTAACCCATACTTGTAACCTGGGGGGAAAAGGTTCCTAGATAACTCCCAGTCCCCTCAATCCATCAGGTGCAGACTTGACCTAAGCATATAAATTTAATGTATTAAGACTGCTAAAGATTTGATTCAGAACACCAACTCTGGCCTTAGGTCATTTTAAAATGAAATTAGAGCTTCCACACTGAAGAGGGACATGTTCTTTAGTCATTCTCCCATTGTCTGCAAAGTGACATGCTAACCTAGTTGGTTCTATGATTCTAAGGTGAAACTAATACTTTTGGATTTTCAAATTCTTTCTCCATTTATGTCTTATAAGCTGGGCCTAAAAGGGTTTTTTTTCTACCTCTAGAGATTCACATCTCAGTTGAAGTATTCCCATCTAGACTGGAGGATTTTGTGAGAGATGAAATTATGATTAGATTCACAGGAGCAAGAAAAATGCAATCCAAGCAATTGATATAGAAAAGATCTTTAACGAGACTGTTTCAAACCGCTATTGGTTGCACATGCAGTATCACTTTTTACCTCTAAAGCCTAATTGGTACAGTAGAGAAGATAATGTTTAATTGAAGATTTAATACTCTGTCCCCTCAATGAAACTGTTAAAATTATGATTGAGACATGCAATAGGCCTTCCAATAAAACAAGGAGAGACTGGAGATGACACTTATGACATCTGAGAGAGAAAAAAGCAGAAGAAATGATTTAAAAACAAATAGAGGGAATAAAACCAACTGATTTATCACAATTTATTACAAACAAGGTAAGTAACGGTACTATTAAACCTTTCTCTAGAAGGCTTTGACAGTCTTTTAGCTGTTTGGATGGGTGTTTTCCTCTCCTTCCTTTGAAATTTCTTTTACTTTCTTAAATATTAAATTTGGCGCTCTCCAGATAAAATTACATAGAATTTATATTCTGTTAAAAAAACCCAAAACATGTCAGTGTGGGTCTTTTTTCTTTTCATCTATGTCCTTGGACACCTCTATGTAGAAACAGAAGCTTGAAGTTTGTTGCAGCAGTTGCCTTTGCATCAGAGATGTCCCTTGTGTTATTCTTGAGAAAATTCAATCAAATCTGCTCCCACTCTGAGCCTTTCAAAAAGTCACACCTCACAGGTGAGCTGTCATGAGCATTTAGCAGCAGCTAAAATCTCAGCTTCTCAGACACCCTTGTGCTGAGCAGCTGCAGTACTGATGGGTTTTACCTGAAGACTCAATAAACAAGTAAAGGCTGGCACTGAGGAGAGGGACCTTGTCTTTCCCCTTCCTTCAGTGGTGACTCTTGCTGCCCATGGAATTGTGAAAGGAGAAGCTTTGAGAGAAGTGCATGGACCCAGAGGCAGGCCCAGGAGGAGAAGTGGCGGTGATTTTGGGGCACCAGAGACCAGAGCATAATAGGGATGCTCTGACCTGGTCCAGGTAATAGCCCAGCTGACAACACCGAGAATAAACAGGATAAGATGCAAGCAAAGAAATCTAGCCCATGAGCTTTGAGACCATGCAAAATACACCCTCAATTTGTCCCTTCTGTCATAGAGGGAATTTCTCGTAGGGGAGAAGAGAGCTGCTATGCATTTCCATCTTTATTTGTTCAGTTGCAAGGTTTATTGATGAGCAAAAGCTGACTCTCCTGCAGTCTGTAGTTTTGATTTCAGCCTCTGAAGACAGCTCCAAGACCTATGGAAGTCTAGGAAGATGCTTGAAATGCAGCATCCGAGAGCTTTGACTGAACTGGAGTCTCTCCCCTTAAACCTATTAATGGGGAAAGTCCTTTCATCTCAGATATACTTACTTCGGATGAGAATAGGCACAACTACTGTGTAATTGCCAGTTTCACTTATGACTGAGAAGGTGTATTTTCCAGCTTGTGCTTCTTTTATTTGGGAAAAAGCCAAAGACATAACATATCTGTAAAACAAAGTAAAGCTGTGTTTGTTATCTAGAAGGTAATATGCAACACACAGAATAAAATGTTAGTTCCTCAGTCTTGCAAAAAGCCTTCAGAAATACTAGTCTTCATTATTTACACAAAATCCTTCAACCTGAAGTGTTTTTATCATGTATCTTCGTACACAAGCAGCACATAGGAATTTAAAACCACAGGTACCACATGTTTAATGCTGAGGTTTGAGAAGGATGGGCTTCCTGAGCTTAGGACAGCTGAGGGGTCCAAATGGAAATGCTTTACCTACAGTCCCATTCCACATGTTTTGCAGGAGGAGGCAATAATCAAGCCTCAGGTTTCAGACCAGGTTTGTCTGTGAGAATTAGAATGTTGTTCCTGTTGTTGTTCTTGATCTGCAGTGTCACCCTACCAAGTCACATAATTCTTCATACCGCAGTTTCTTTGATTATAAAATCACAATTTTGCCTCACATGAGCACTGCAAAACTCAAATGGATCAATGTCAGAAAGTCCCTGGACATCCCTATGCATGATGCTATACAAAATCACAGAACAAGCTTATGTCAAACTATTCATGTATGTATGAGTCTAAACGACAATCAGTAATGTGCTGCCAGCTGACAGCCATGAACAAAGATTAAAAGGTTTAAAAAGATAATGCATAACATGTAATTAAATGCAAGCACAGTCACAGAAAATATTCCATTTGCATCCTAAAAGAAACGATCTCTTAAAGGATCTTTTCATCAGTACATCCTTTGACTCACCGATTCTCTGAGTCCAAAGAAGGTTTACACGCTTTGCTCTCTTTAAAGAACCAGAAGCATGAAATTATATTAGAAATGTTCATTATTACTCTTAATTCAATATCTTCAAAGACATTAACTTCCACATTTTTAGTTGGTTCATAGATGTTCTCTGTTCCTTGAGAATTCAAGTAACACCCAAGATCTTCCAAAATGTTAGAAATCTGTGATGCAGGAGGACAGACTGTTATGTGCTTGTTAGAAATTAAATTTACTTGCTTTTTTGCATTCAAATATTTTTAAAGGATGTTCTTCTAGAAAAGCTTTCATAAACTGCCTCATAATGTTCAAATATGAATAGAAATTCATACTGAAATAACACCATCATACCTTTTTCTTGTTTTGTTTTATCATTTCTGTTGTGAAACTTTTTCATAAATATGTTGCATTCTACTGCACTATGAAACTCTATAGGATTCCAGTTAAATTAGTTAATTCTGTTCTTTCAACAGACATCACAGAACAGTTTTTGCCAGAAACATGATAGTTTCCCTTAGTGACACATGCCATTCTTTACTCTCATTTTTGTTTCCTTTCATGTAAAGCCATAGGAAGACAAAGAACTATAATACAACTTTTCTGTCTGCAACTTCAAAATGCAAAGGCAGGGCCAGAACTTTTGGGTATTTTTTAGCATCCCACTGCTTGTCACTGCAGCACCTTGCTAGACTGCTCCTCAAATCCTCTGGAGCTTTACTAGGTAAGGAACATTTGGCCTGGGCACCTTCACACCTTTCATTTCCTCACCACTGTGTATAGCTAAGGAGAATTGAAAACAGAAGGACCTTATTCCACAGTTGTTCTGAAAACCACCAATGGATTTATGAGTCTCTAAGCTCAGCTGCAGCAAAAGGTGGAAAGTAAATAGCTCCATCTGAACAGTAGTCCTAAATGTCTCCCTCCGTGACTTTGGTGGGTGAAATTTACCTGGTGTAAATGTATGAAAGGACAGAGTTCATTGCATCCTCTGCTCCACACTCTGCTTGGTGTTGGTTCTTCTCATTCATTTCTCCTTCTTTTTCCCTTCACTTGATCTGAGAAGTATTTAGAGATAGCAGCCATATTCTGCCTTGTTAGATACAAGGACATCACAACTTTGGCTGCTGTAGTTTCATTTGTTATCCAAATTTTTTATTTATTAGTCCAGGAATGAAAAAGATTCCATAAGACTACCTTGGAACAATATTCAGTAATATTCAGGCATGCTGACGTCAGACAGCATCAAGAAATTAAAAAATCAGTTTTAGAGAAAAGTGATACCTATCTATTTACACTTTCAAAGTACGAATTGTGACAAGTAATTACCTCTAACCTCCTCTAGTCATATTTGGCATAACCCTGGTTATTTTGACTGTGACATCCCCACAGCCTAAAGGGTTAGGGTGTTGCTAACTTCTGGGAAGCCATTTCTAGAATGGACAGGAGTATTTTATAAGCAACTAGTTCTCTGTTATATTACCTTGGGAGATACCAATGTCTCTGGTGTTCCTGAACCTTCATCCTTCTGGCTGATTAAAACACACATAATCTCAGATGTATTTTGTTTTATTGCAGAAGTGAAAGTAACTGTTGTCATAACAAGAACTGTAAAACAGAAATAGAAAATGTAATCATGTTTAGATCTTTGCTCTGGGATAATAATCTTAGTAAAAATAAAATACAACAAAGCTGTAGAAAGATTACACCTTATAAAAAGAAAAGGCAGGAGGAAAAATGCAGATATATTGTATGCATTTGCAAATACTGCATTTGTGTACTGAAGCTGAGTGGAAGCACTATTTGAGAACATTCCAAAGGCACAGGTACCTCACTCATTAGATGTATGTCCCATAATATTGCAGAAAATGTCTGAAGACAAAAGCCTCTATGTATTCTGGAGGCTCCTTTAGAAACCACATTATAAAACACAGGCTCTCTCTTGCAGATCACTTCTGCACCTGTGTGTTGGAAAGGGCCCTGCAGCACCTACCCCTGCAGCTGAAGGTCAACGTTTGCTTGGTGTGAGCCAGAGGATGATCATGCACCATCAGCACTCAGGAGGTGTTCAAGTAAGAAACACTTTCCAAGCACTCTTGCTTTGACTTGCAATGGCAAAATGATGTCCTCCAACTCGTCTTCAGAGCCCACGCTGAGCTCGCCCAAGGACTCAAGATCATGTCTTCCTTTTCCCTTCCATCCAGGACTGGCTCTATTTGATTTGACATACTGGACACCCTCCTGAGCCTTCCTGGTATGGATTTGTGTACCCCAGCTCACAAGCGAGGTGCAGGTTAGATGCTTCTTCCTTTGAGCTGCCATTCACAACCTTGAGCTCTTTCTCCTCCAGGAAGCAAATAAGGCAGCAATTCACACTATTTTGAGGAAAGCAGATGCAGAAAGTGGAGCACAAGGAAGAGTAAGCCCATGGCTTTCTCATCCTCCATACCTCCCTGGCTTTCTGCTTATAGAGCCAGGGCAGCTCCTAGCCCTAGCAGGAGCAGTAGATGTTGTTTCTCCTTACACATAAGGAGCAGCGTGGGAAAGCTGCTTGTGCCTCAAAGGCATCATGTCTCTGGAACACTACATATGAGCCTTTCTACTGGGACTGCAGCTTGAGAAGTCACCTTTTAATCTTAAAGGAGGTATATAGTAACCATGCTCACATCATTGCACATAAGCAATATAAGATAAACAGAAGTAAGACTGAATAACTGGCAGGGTGAAAAGAGTTTGATTTCCATTAATTCCCTAAAGTCAGCTCTCAACAGCACTGATTATAAAATAACATCTCTCTCCTGGTGACTTGGAAGATTTCTGCCCTCAGGTTTTGTTTTTCTGCTTTTCCTTCCCCCTAAGCTCTCCCAGCTCCTGAGATGGTTGGACATAAAGCAAGCTGCAGAGTTTAAAGAAGGAAAAAAAGTTAAATACATCAGGTACTTGAAGGATGAAAGTAATGAGACTATTTCTGCAGGTGATGGAAGGAGCAAAACTGGTAGAAGGAAGAAATGAGCAAGAGTTGCTGCCATCCCCTCTGTGATGTTTGTATCTTCTGGAGCTGCCTGAGCTCTAATCTGGCAACACTGACAATGTCTTCTGAGCTCTCTTGGCAAATACAGGCTAAGCCTGAGCCCTTCACGTTCAGGCACCTAACATACACTTCATTTTTGGTGCCACCTTTCCACAGCATACACAGGCAGTGGTCTGCTTTCACAGACTTCTGAGGAAGATCCTGTCCATCTGCCTGTCATCCTAAGAAAGGTGAACAGGACTTCTTTGTGACGACATATACCTCCCTCCATTATCTATAAAGACAATGTTGGCGCTTCTTGAGACAGTGAGTGTCAGAGGGTAGCCGAAAGGCAGGTATGCGTTAGGTATCTACACCAAGCATGCTGAATTCCTCCCTGTCAACACAAACCAGGCTTCCAGCCCTCCCACTGGTCTATCACCAAGTCGTTCTCTGCTCAGTTTTCTCCACTTCTGTTTGTTGGCCACTTTACTTTTCACCCTTTCCAAACCTTACTTAGCTGATGGAAACCCACCTATGTCCACTGATTTCTAAGATGCGCCAGCTGAAACCACCTGAAAATAGGACCTCAAAAGTTACAACTCATTTGGCCTGTTGAGCATTCCCTTCAGCTTTCTGATCTGCCAATAGTTTTAGCTTCTGATTGTACAAGCCAAGCCAGTTTATCCCTGGCATTACTCCATCTTGCTCACATTGCCTTGTCAGTTGGATGCCTAATGCCACAGTAGGAAAGGTGTATTTAAACAGGGAAAATATTTGCAGCTAAAAGCTAGGCAGAAGCAGACAGATGTAGCAACCAGACTGTGAGCAGACATGCAAACAAGGTGTCTGATGAACTGGAACTGCACCTGTAAAGGACAGTATGTGGGAGCATATGCTGGAAGAGGGAGTAGTGAGCACTCTGACACCCTCAGGTATAAGAGAAAATGGGACTCCTTGTCCTGTTAACTGCTAAAGCTTGTCACTGCTGTCCTCCACCTTTACTCCTGTGAAATCCAAGAAGGTTTTTTAGGGTAAGGAAGAATACTTTGAACCTGAGAGGATTCTAGCTGCTTTACGGTGAGAAAAAAAAAGTTAATGTGATAGTCAGAAGTGTTTACATGACATGGAGTGCTCTCAACTTGTGTAGGTCTTAGAGAAATCCATCACACTGACAAAACAGAAAACGAGAGCATGAAGGAGCCTTTCAGAAAAAGCAGAATCAAGAAAAATATTGGGAAGTGTTAATGCTCCGATTCTCTGTCTTGATCTTTCAGCTTCTAGCTGGCCTGTTCAGGGACTGCTGTTATAGTCTGCACACTAGTCATCCTCCCAAAAGCCCAAAGTAAGAACTGCAGAGACTAAAAGCAGTGGGCAAGGAGTATCAAATATGTAGCGTACATAATCATATTGTGTATTGCTGAACAGTAGTGAAGTTGGAATGGAAATAAATCACTGCCACTGAACAATGTGTGTTTATGCCTGCTTTCCATCTTCATTATCTTTCCATAGGCTATACAAAAATATATTCACTAGGAGAAATCTTTTTCTCATTGAATTCAGAAAATCCTCTAGTTGCCATAAAAACTGAGCCAGGATTTCATCAAGATGTGGAGGCCCATACATGGGGAAGTGCCTGTGCAAGTCAAAAGGTGGGCTTACATGTTATGGTAGTGGTGAGAAAGGCCTGAATATACTGAAGAGACAGCAAACCAAGAAGCTACTCTGGTTCACCGAATGGAACTGCTTACAGAATTTTATTTTCAGATGGGGGATGACAAAAGCAACCTTTGGAAAACTGGGAAAACCTCTCCAGAATACGCTGAAAGCCTGAGTTTAGCAGAAAGAGAATAGCTGAGGAACTGGAACACTGTGAAGTGTGAAGAGAAAACCTTTCTCTTCATACCGAGGGATGCAATGTTCTGGTTGTCTTCAGCTTGGGATTTTACACAGCAGTCAGGCCCTCCCTAGACATAGAAGATTCTTCCACTCCACTTGACAGCTTCAGGAAGACTTATATAAAGAAAGCTATGTTTAGCTTCTTATTTGGCTTCTGACCATTTTCCTTGGGTGAGACTCTGGATCAACTTTCCAAAATTTTCTTCCTGATCAGGGAAGCTAGAATGACCCCTTTTTCCCAAGGAAGCTATAGTCCTCTCACATTCATACGCTGCCAGAAACAAATCTGTAATAGTGGTAACATGGAGGAGCCCAATACCCATGCATTATCTCTTAAAACCTCCACAACTTTGCATGTGGTTGCCTTTTTCTCAAATCACTCCCAAAGCAATGGATCCTGAAATGAGAATTTTACTCTATATAAATAGGATAAAAATCACAGGGAGGTAGGATAGGTAGAAAAAGCTGATACTAAATGAATTCCTACCTTTTACCCATATCTTATTTCTCTCCCAACAAACTTAACTTTTCTCCTTCCCCATCTTTCAACACACCTTCTTTCCTTGGTGTCTTCACTGTTTCAGCTTAAATACTTCCCCCCAAAATGCAACCTGTGAGTTCATTCTCAAATGATGATGGGGCCAGAGGTGTTGATCTATGTTGGAGAATAATAACTGCTAGAACAAGGTTCAACAAGGAAGGTGGGTGACAAGACACCTCTGTTGCAGCTCATGCTAATTGTGAGTAGTTGCTGTAACATCAGATGGGGTACATCTAGGTCAGGACCAGTCATTTATCTGGTCTTACCAGTTAATTACAACAAACATCACGTGAACTGATTTAATTATTCCCAGTCATGTTCAAACATGATTGAGATTTGAGATGTGAGGGAAAAAACACTATAGAGTGTAGTAGCTCTTTGAGAGGGTTTAGTGGAAGAGAATCTCTAGACTTGAGTCACCTAGCAGGAAAGCAGTGAGAAGACGAGAGTAGAGGAGACTGTGTGGGTTTGGAAAGTGCCTAATTAGGGTCTGTGTGCTGAGTAAAGAACTAATAACAAGGAGCAACACTGACATCATACATTGCCCTGTCACCTGTCAGTCTTAACTGCATTGCCTTCAACCCTCCACCTCGGTTGTCTTCCCACCCGGATCCGCTGACAACGCTTCCACCACCCGAGGCCGTTCAGGATGTGGCATTACACGCTGTTTTTTCCGTGGGCTCTTCTGCCCGAGAGAGAGGTCTCGGTGCACGGAGGGACCGTGATCTACGAACACCGGCACGGAGGCGCCCGGGGGCGGGCAGGCGGCTGCCGCCAGGGGGCGCCACCGCGCCGCCCAGCCCTCACCGCGCCGCGCAGCCCCGCGAAACGGGGTAGCCCGCAATCTGTTGTGATCTTCTGTTAAAAGGCAGAAAGCTTAAAAATGCTGCCCCTTCCTGGGAAGATCCCGTGTCTGTCCTTGCATGGCACAGGCAGGATTCTGGCTTGGGTCTATCGGTTTGAAAAATTAACTAAAAATAAAGGCATTTTTGCGCAGGAACAGCTCATGTACATACAGTGAAAACTTCCTAGTCAGCAGAACACCTGTAAGTAGGTCGTGCCCTATTTATTATGGTGGCTTCAAGTGTTTCTTCTGAAGAGATATTAAACCAGAACTTGTCACAGTGAATAAACCATCTCTAATTCATCCCGTGCAAA